GGCGGGCCCGCCCCCCCCCCGCCGCAGGCACCCGCTGCTCGGCACGGCCGGGAGGAAGGAGCGGGCACGGCAGCTGGGGGGATTGGGCAGGGGGCACGGGTGGAGGTGTATGGGTGCGTGGGAGGGTGCATGTGTGCAGGTGTATGGGTGCTTGGGGCGGGGTGCATGGGGCATGGCCATGGGTGCAGTATATGGTGCAGGATATGCATGGGTGCACAGCAAGGTGCATGGGGATACAGGGCAGGGTGCATGGCAGTGTGCCTGGGTGCAGGTGTATGGCAAGGTGCATGGGTGCATGGGGTGGGGTGCAGGGTGCGTCAGGTGGGGTGCACGGGTGCCTGGCAGGGTGCCTGTGTGCACGGGGCAAGGTGCATGGGGCATGGGCGTGGGTGCAGCTGCATGGTACAGGGTGCATGGGTACAGCAGAGAGCCTGGGGATACAGGGCAGGGTGCATGTGTGCATGGGGCAGGGTGCCTGGGTGCACCAGCCATGCGCACAAGGCTGGGTAGCTGCATGCATGGGGGGCATCGGCATGGGTTCACCGGGCACGGTGCCTGGGCGCACAGCACAGGGTGCTGGTTCCAGCGGCTGCGGCACTTGGGTGCGTGGGGCAGGATGGCTGCGGGGTGCACAGGGCTGGATGGGTGCTGTGGGAGCATCCCGCCCCGGCTCAGCGCTGCTTTCCCCGGGTGCCTGGGGTCTGGCCGGGCGGGCGCGTGCAGGGTCGTGGGTCCACGCGCCACCCCTGACCCCCTGCTCCCCCCCGCAGCGGCGGGGCATGAAGGGCAAGGCGCGGAAGCTGTTCTACAAGGCCATCGTGCGGGGCAAGGAGACGCTGCGCATCGGGGACTGCGCCGTCTTCCTCTCGGCCGGGCGGCCCAACCTGCCCTACATCGGGCGCATCGAGAGCATGTGGGAGTCCTGGGGCAGCAACATGGTGGTCAAGGTCAAGTGGTTCTACCACCCCGAGGAGACCAAGCTGGGCAAGCGGCAGAGCGACGGCAAGGTGAGGGGTGGGCCGGGGCGGGGATGTGGCACGGCGGCGAGGGGGGCAGCCGGTGACGCCGTGTCGTCCCCCTGCAGAACGCCCTGTACCAGTCGTGCCACGAGGACGAGAACGACGTGCAGACCATCTCCCACAAGTGCCAGGTGGTGGGACGGGAGCACTACGAGCAGATGACCCGCAGCAAGAAGTACCAGGACCGCCAGGACCTCTACTACCTGGCGGGCACCTACGACCCCACCACGGGCCGGCTGGTGACTGCTGACGGGGTGCCCATCCTCTGCTGACGCCCCGTGCCCACCCCGGGCGCAGGGAGGGGGACAGGGATGGGCAGCCCACCCCACGCACCCTCTCCGTTGCGGGGCTTCTTCCCGGCCATTATGCAAAGCCCGGGGTGGCCGGGAAGGGGGCACGGGGGCACCATCATCATCGTCGTCGTCGTCACAGGGGGCGCAGGGGGGGAGCTCCCCTACAAGCCATACTTTCCCTAGTACCTCTGACTGTTTGCCAGCAGGTAAAGCAGAAATCAGGTGTGTTGTTCTATTTATTTTGCGTGTAAATATTGTATTTCTTCCGGGAAGTTTTATGGAAAACAGACAAACCAACAACAAAAAAAACCAACAAAAAACCATACAAAAAAAAAATTAATAATAATAT